TCGAAATATGTTTTTGATGTTTGGTGTTTATATATATATACTAGGTGTTTCAAATCCACTCCTACGCAATCAACAAACATGTGAAGGTAGAAGAAAACACGATTGGAGGAGGAGGTGTTTTTGGTGGCTCTCTGACGTTGAAGTCAGAAAAGAGTAAAAGAGGAAGAAAAGAAGAAAACACAAATCTGGTGGAGTCATGGAGAGCAAAGAGGAATAATCGAAAAATTAAAAAAGAAAGGAAAATAGTGACTTTGGGCTAAGCAAGGAATGGTGTCTGAGCGTTTGGTGGAAACAAAATTGTGGTGAGGTAGAAGAATGAAACATTGTGTTTAGAGGAGTTCTGGTCAAGGAACGACCAGAAAAGAAGAGAATTTGGAGAAGAGATCCGGAGAAAATGGTTTAAAATAACCAGAATGAGACTAAAGCTCAAGTGAATTGGCCTTAGTCTCGAGAGAAATAGGCTATGGAGATAAAGAAACAAGAGAGAGATGAATAAGAACTTATAATCAATTGGAATAGAAATAAAAAAGGGTTCATAAATCTTCTCAAAAGTTATAGAGTCAGAGATTCGTCTCGCCAAAGCTTACAAGTTGCAAAAGCCAAAAAGTCTGAATGAAAAATAAAGCGTGTCTCAAACAAAAATGAAAATAGGGTTTTATTTGTCTAAAAATCGGATTTGTGTTGATCTTGGTGAAGTTGGGTTGATCCAGGCGAAGTTGGGTCGGATCTGAAAAGCTGCAGGAGAAATAAAAGTTATGGTTTCTGCCATCGGGGTGTATGTCTTATGGGAGCGTCCGATGGCAGTTTTCTGCAGATTTCAACACATGAGAATTCTGGAAGTTGGATTCTGGTTTCTACCATCGGAGTGTATGCCTGATGGGAGCGTCCGATGGCAGTTTCCTGCAGATTTCAACACATGAGAATTCTGGAAGTTGGATTCTGGTTTCTGCCATCAGGTTGTATGCCTGATGGGAGCGCCCGATGGCACTTTCCTGCAGATTTCAACACATGAGAATTTTGGAAGTTGGATTATAATTTCTGCCATCGGGATGTATCACTACAAGAAAACACAGTTTTAGCGTCGAAATTTTACGTCGAATTTGTGTCGACGCAAATATAGCATCGACTGTGCGTCGATTTTGTGTCGTTATAAACATTCGACGCAAATTTGACGCAAAATTGGTACGAAAAGTAGCGACGCTAAATCGATGCAATTTAGCATCGGAAAAATAGCGTCCGATATAGCGTCGAATATTGTGTCGAAGTTGGTAGGTAGGTGGCACGTTTTTAATGGGTTCACCTACTTCTATAGCGTCGCCAAAAACCGACGCAA